CCCGCGATAGGAATTATATCTAAAATAAAAATTTGTTTAAATAATTTTAGGGAAAAGGAGTATATGTGAATATTATAATAGAAAAATTATACTAAACTCGAGAGTGGCCGTTTTTTTAGTGCATTAAATTATACATATATTTATCATTAAATAATAATAATTTCCATTTCATATAATTTTACGATAATTTTTAGTTTTATCATAATAAAAGTTAAGCCGGTCTTTTGGAACAAGCACATTTTAATGCTAAATCTACGATGTGCATACGAGTTTGAGTCTGGTGTTCGCACGATATACTTAGTGGTAAATGTGACCATTCGCTTTTCGTTTCTCCATTACATCGAATGCGATCTCGGTACATTAAATAAAACTCGGAATCGGACGGCCACTTTCGGATCTAAACGTGAACAAGGGTGCGAATGCGCGGAGCTAAGACGCGATAGAAAATAGAATTGACGATAGTTAGAACCCGCAATGGCGGATGAGGATAGTGGCGAGAATACGCGGATGGGAAGGAACATGATTCTGATTAGCATACAAACTACGCGCGACCGTGTCGGTTCTCTCCGCGTTCTGATTGTGTGCACAGTGTCGTATAGTTAAAGAGCCGTTGACTCTTATGGCGAGAATCTAGATTTGCAGCCTCCAAATTACACTCACATAAAAATAAAGTAGATTATTATATATTAATAATGTTATAATAAAATGTTATATCATAAACCTTTCTTCAAGCTCTTCTTATTCTTATTCATTTATAGAATTATTTATTTTTGCATTTTTATATATCAAAAATAAAATAATACTAAATGAAAAGTTCACAGTTAAACAACTCCTATTCAAAAATTTATCTTACTTATACAAACTTCAAATTTGAATAAAGATTCTTTTATAAAAGAGACTGCGATTCGACTCCTAAGTTGGTAATTTTGCTTTTAGTCTTCAGATCGTTTTAAAGTATAGTTACAGTTCTGTGCATAAAAACATGAAGAGATACATGTAATAATATAGAGAATCAACGAGAAGGAACCGCAAAAGCGTGCGAAACGACGAAGAGAAATGTCGGAGAAAGGAGGCCGATGCCACTCACAAAGTAATGAGCCGCGAGACGGCACACTGGAACACTGGAGAAGTCACGCTCGATAATGGACCACAGTCATTACGATGAACGCGAAAACAGAGTCACGATTGTGTCCCGAACGGCGAAGAAACTTTACCGAAAGATCTTTTATAGGAATTTGCACAGAGACCGTTTACAGCAGTTACTTATAAATTCGGTTGGAGATTTAATTCTCTATATTGCTAATTAATAATTAAGATTTTTTTTTCAAAAAGAGAGAACTTTTATTATTATTTTATTTCCGTCTGTTAAATTTTAAGAAATTATTTCTCTTCTCAGAAAAAAAATGTTCGATGTTTTTTAATGTGCATATTTCGCGAGTATCTTTTCTTAGAAATATATCGGAGTTGAAATTTTGATGTGTCTATCCGTTGTAAATAAAATATAATTCATAATCTCTGATGCAATTCTATTTTCTGATGTCAGTAATATTTCCAATCACAAAGAGATATTCTGATTCTCTTTTATCAAACATTTAATTTTATTATAACCGGTCTTCATTTGTCGTCGGGTTTACAAGAGCCCACTACACGGTAATGCTATAAGATTATGATACCACCCAGAAAGAACGCGAATATATGGACACTGGTAACACTTGAGATATGTATTAGCGGTGTGGTCGTCAATAATGGCCGGGCATAAACGATAAAAGCGCGAAAACAGGACCGTCTTTGTCGCGACGAGTAAAGACTTGGATGATCGTCGCCATACAATCGCATTGGACGATTGAATGCTAGGCACTGTGCGACACAGAAACCGTCCTCTCGAACGGCGATTTCTGGCTCGATGTCCATCGATCGATCATTAGATAGGACGGAGAGGCGTTGCTCATTAGCGGCGGGTTAATCGTGAGTTGATAATCCATCGAGTGATCTGGAGATCACATGACGCGGATAGTCGGACGAAATCAATTGTGCCAGACGAGAGACAGTATTCGAGATTAAAGCGAGGCAAATATTAATCGATTTAATTGAACGGAAATCCGTGTCCTTGTACCTATACAGCAAATTCCATGTTACACTATATCTCTCGTTAATATCTCTCTGCATATCTTTAGATTATTTTTATTCTTTTCTTAAAAGCTCAGTTTATTCTAGCAGTATGAAAAATTGATGATTTTTAGAAATTTTTTCTTGAAGAATATTAGAAATTGATCTTTTTGGCGTTTATGCTTTTATTGACATTTAAACTTGAATATTTAGCTTATTTTGTTCAAAAATGATATGCTGCTCTTCGTGTAATTGTCTGAAATGAAAAAACTCGACCTTTTAGTTTTATTCTTTCGGATATTGAACCTATTTAGAATCTAAAAAAAAATAATATTTAATATTTTTCTGATCTTCAAGAAATAAACAATTTTCAGCACAATTGAAATCTCTAATATTAAAATAAGACTACTTTGTTATTTTTTAATTTTTCCTAATGAAATTAGTTCACTATCCCAAAAATATCCTACAGAAAAAAACTAGATCGATTGTTTTTCGTTTCAGACAATTACGAGAAGCATGGCACACTGTCGACCCATGCATTTTTGAACGTTTAGAAGCGTATTGAACAATTAAGGTTAAATATCCAGGATTTAAAAATACTAACTTATTTAAATATCAATAAAAACATATTTAAAACGCTAAACAGATCAATTTTTAATATCTTTTAAAAAAAATCCTACAAATCATCAATTTTTCATATTGCTAAAGTAGACCAGACTCTTAAGCGAGAAAAATTATTTACTGCGTGTGTTTTCCATTTTTAGTTTTTAAAATTAAATGCGATTTTCTAGAAGCGTAAGAAATTGACTCGGCGAGAAATTTGCAGATCTTTTCGGAAAAACGTTCAAAATGTCTCGTACACGAAAGTGTCGAATTGTCGAACATCTTCACGTGTGTCTCCTATTTGTCTTATCGAGCCGTTCCATTTTTTACCGCGCGTCCAATCAACGCGCGACAACGGCGAAAACCGGGAGCCCGCGACTGCGTCCGTAAATCTCCCAGGTAAGCTGCCCGGTAAATGTACTTTCCCGTGTACCGCGGATCCACGAGCCGTGCTGGCATAGCATGAGCTACCGGTGTCGCAAATTACCGGCGCGTTGTTCCGCTGTCGGCGGAACGTAACAGCGCCTGGGCGCACGCCCATTTCTAGAATGGCCTATTTCTGCGTAATTTACAGATTCGTCGGAATGTCAATTGAGCGTATCGTTCCCCCCCGTCGACCCGTGACGCGAAGGTCGAAAACGCTCTTGAGATAGTTTTTGTTTGAATTTTACAAATTTACGAGGCGTTACGTTCGCAAAAGACAGATGGAAAAAATGTGTGCGAGTTTCCGAGAAATTTTTCCTGAAAGAAGGATTGGAAGAATGGGACACCGTGGCCGAAATGGAATAGACTGGAATTGTGCTAGTTTTTGAAATTTCGAAAGAATGCTTGAAAAATTACGGGGTAGACCGGTGTTCTGGATGAGTTATTACAGTTGCTTGCAGATCAGTACGCGAGCAAACCCAACATCCTTGGTTGGCTGTGGTAGTAAAACGGAGGCATCGTTTTTGCCTAATTTATAGCCCATTAGTGTAACGACGTCGCCCTATTTCCTTTTCCGTCGCTTGCAAATCAGGATGACACATTTAAAAATTTTAAATGGGGAAGAATAACGGATTTTGCGAGCGCATTTATATTTCTCAATTTTTTATTTTCCATGAAATTATTTTAGCTAATTATTATTGTATTACGCGCAATCTTTCTTCCATGGCATCGCCAAGATGGCATCCTCCTCGTTAATTACAAAGTCATCATCTAATCTCGAGCACCACGACCTAGATTTCGGTACGCGATATGGGAACCAGAGCCACAAGCTGTCGGGAACACGGTTAGGTATTAATTAAAGTGGCAGGCCTTCTCGTCGCGTCTTCGGGTGCTCTATATTCGGGTAATTTAGAATATGCTCGAGAGCACCACTCTGTTACATCCTTTCGATCGCTTCGCTTGCAACCGTCTTAAAACGACTAGACATATAATCGTATAATAAAAACTCGTGTATAAAATTAATAGCATAAATTTATTAAATATATGAATATTATTGAGAATTGCTCTCTCTTATTTTTATTTTCATTATTGTTTTATTATATTGTATATATAATTTTATTTTAATTTTCTCTCATTTTTCTCCAATTTCTAGGAGATATATATTTTTCGAGGAGAGTGATTTATATATTCTTGGAGATTTAAATAACACCGTTACACGCATACGGATTACCGTTACGTGACTAATTTATGAGAACAAATAAATCTCGAAGAAAACAAGAGACTTTAGAAAGTTTTAGAAAATATATATAAAGCCGCTATTTGCGCAAACGCCTTATTCAGCGACTATTTTGCAAAGTAACGTATTCCACGTAGATCAAAAGCTCCCCTCGGTGCGGCCCACCGCGTCGTAGATCATCGCGTAGGACGAAGAATAACCGAGACGCTGTCGGAAGCACGCTTCTTGGCCCCAAAGCATTTCGCTTCCTCGTTCTTGCTCTATTTTTGGCTAATTTAGGAGCGATCGGTAACGCTCTTTCTAGCGTAACCTGCTAGACCTCGCCCTCTTCAACACTCGTCGTCGTTTCAACCTACCCCATGTGGTCGTTCCATTGTCTTCCCTCGAGTTGTAAGGATCTCGGACGGTCTCTCTCGAACCCGTGAAATACGGTTACAATCTGAACGACTTCTCGACCTCGAGACGACGTCCCGGCGCGAATGAAACCGGCGCTTTATTGCGGAAGACGACCGCCGACGGCTCGATGACCTCGGAGGGATTTTTGCGCGTTTCTTCATATATATGTGCGATATTGCGTGTGTGTTCGGTGATAAAAAAAAAAAAAAAAGATAAGAGGAAAGGATTTACTTACTTCCAGAAGACGACGGACACGATCGCGGCCATCAGTAGTAAAACCACCGCGCAGGTGATAATCAGGGCAGTGCTTTGCAGCGATGGATTTGTATGATAAGAAGCGTCGATCATCTGAAAAGTGATAATTAAAATGTTAGAATATATTAGAGTAATTCACGCGAATATCTATGCCAATTTTTTTTTTTTTTTTTTTAAAAAAAATTAAAAATTATTTTTAGGACCCATGCATGTAGTTGAACCGATTATACCGTACTCCACTGTCTCTGAATCATTTATCTGCATACACAGAGATACGAGCGTCACATTAGGCAATAGATTTCAACTTCTATAACAGTTTCGTGTCGCGCGTGAACACGAATATAAATTTCATAGAAATACGTACATCTTGGACTAATGTTTTCGCAGTGGGGCTCAACAAGACCCGATCGCACCAAGCCGGCACTCTCGTTTGCATGTAATTTACAGGCTCGTTTACATCTTCTTGAAACGGATAACTGGGCACAAAATTGATTGAAAACTCGAACAACCGTCCTTCAAAATCTCCCAATTCTTTGTCATACTCGCGTAACTACAAACAAATATTAATAGTTGCATTATTGATATTGTCTCTCCCTAACTCGATTAAATATAATATAAAGCATAAATATGTAACATTTACCCATTCACCACCATTCTTCATGAAAACGTTTTGATGTTCGTAATGTGAAAATTCCTTTTTCCCTAACGTTAATATGAGATCATCGTCTCTATTGTGAAATTGCAATTTAGAAATATTTCCTTTATTTGATAACCTCTTTTCTTGAGTATCTTCTGTCAATTTCTATTAAAGACAAATTAAAGAGTGCTGTAACGTATTGGATTTTATTAAAATGTTAGAATATATTAGAGTAATTCACGCGAATATCTATGCCAATTTTTTTTTTTTTGTTAAGACAAATCAAAGATTATTTTACGGTGCTTGCGTAAACGATTTGTAAAAAATATTCTTTCCTATTATATCGGGTATCATCGAATATTTCATACACGTAGTACGAATATTCATAATCACTATGAATTCAAAAATATAAATTTTTATTTTATGGTAAAAAACATCAAGCATATATTAATAGATTTTAATTTGTATCATCTTAATTTTTTTTTCTTTTTTGCTGCATATAAATGTGGATATCTTTTTATGTAATTGCATGTCTTTTTACCTTTCTTTAGAAAGATTTTTTTCTATATGTGTTTTGTATATTGTTTATATCACCGTATATATCTTAAAAATTCAACACAATTTAATTTTAAATTCGATCTATCCAATATAATTTTGCTAAAATATTTTTTGCTACGACAAGTGCTAATTTATTTAGTAAAGTACGATTTAATCGTATATCTCATAATCATAGAATTATCAAGTGTATAAATCTAGTTTTTATAATCTATTCGACGTCACCAATTTATTTCGGTAATTCGTTGCAATTATTTGCAAACTAATCGTCTACTCCTACGTTTACAAAACGGATTTTGACATTTCGCCGGATTTAAAGGGACTGGAAACCGGTTCACGATGACCGATATTATAAGAGAAAGAAAGAGAGACAGAGACAGAGAGGTCGTGAGTATAAATTTCCTCATTTTTTCGCGGAAGAGAATTGTACAACGCGCTATGGCGTTTTGTGGTAATATTACGCGATATCGCGGCGTGTTATTACGCCTCTGCGGGCGCGATAATACCGGAAGAGGCGAATTAATCGCCGTGGAAACGGCTTCGTTCGTTCATTCCGAAAGATTGAATCGAGACAGCGCGCAGCTTTGTGCTTCCATCGCCGCCATGAAGTCGTACTTTTGCACGGAATGTGAAGAGAAACACTGTCTGTTAACCACTGTCTGCCCATGTCAAAGAATTGCAATTTACGCACATCTTTACTCTTATTTCTAGTATATATTTATCGCTGTCGCTTCATTTCTAATAAAATATATCAACATTCATTAATATAGATTTAATATTTATAAAATGTGTAATATTTATAAATGAGTTAAAATGTGTGGCCTTCGATCAAAATATGCTTGTCATTTATTTTTACAGTTGCTGTTCAGGTGGTATATCGATTGTTAGAAGGAGAAGCTTTGTAATAAAACCCAATTAACACAAGCTATTTTACGGTATATATAGCGGAGAAACTTGATAGTTCAATAGAAACTTAAGTAGCTTAATGAATTTTCTATCAAAAATTCAAAAATTGATTTACCAAAGTTTTATAAGGAATTAACATTTAAATAATTAAAATTGTTCAATATCCTCCATAAGAAGATTTCTTAAAGCTAAGACCTCACTCCCTTCGGGTTCATCGATAATCTCGCTCGAAGCGAGATTACGGCAATGAATTGGGTTGCGTAAAATCCGGGAATCGATGCGGATTTCTCATATCGATAACGACGAGAAATATCTCCGATCCTTATTTACATCTTTGCCGAGGAAAAGGTGCGAGAAATTTCGCGGCCGAAATTCCTCGTTTCTCGAACTGGCGATATCGGCGATGGCGACGGCGTCGTCGGAACGCCGGAAATTCGCATCGGAATCTCTACCTCCCCCTCCCCTCCACAATTGTGGCAGGATTCTTCATAAGAGGCACGTAGGTGCGCCGGGAAGTGCCCGAACACACGTGCCGAGTATGACGAAGTCAAGGGAAGCCAATGGCACGGTTTCCTTCGCTTCTCGGCGAATTACGTGGGTCGCCTGCGAAAAAGGGAAAGTGATTTTCCCCAAGGAGTGACAGGACTCCCGGAGCGTAGGAAGGGTATATCTACACTTCCGTTCAGCCTTAGATCGGATCCCGCCGCCATTTCCATTGTTGACTTCTCGTCGTATCGAGGTCGATCGAGTAGCATTGTAAGAGCGAGATTCATTTACCTGATTTTGAAAGAGATTCGGAAAGGCTGGCTGTTGCCTAGTCAAAGAGTTGCTTAAATAAGCATTGATAGCATGTCGTCCCCTGCTAAAAGAGGGTCGTGATACAATGCGCAGTATGGAGCCAGAATATTAAACTGCATCTTGTTTTGACACGCCACACGACAAAGCGATATTTATTGAAAGCCATGTAAATGACAATTTTCGTCGTCGCGAAAGAATTATCTCGTCCTTGTAAACGTTCTCCTCGAACTTCATTTTCCTAAAGTCCATGAAGTTCACGCATAATGCTAGAACTCATAGGATAATATGAAGATATCTGATATTTTAGACTAAATGATAAATGAATGAGTTTGAGAAATGACGAAAATTAAGTTAAGTTTGAGCCTTTGTATTTAGTTGGCGCACCGCAAATAATTTGCACATTTTCTGCAAAGAGTTCGATTATCAAGTAATTAAAAAGTGATGACAAGAATTTTTATCTGTTAAAATCAATATTTAATAATACGAATATAGGCTTCTCTTAAAAAAATTATCTTTGCAGACAAGATTCTTTTAATATATCTAAAAAAAAGAAAATTCGAAATATTTCCGGCAATCCTCGACAATATTAAATAATCGAGAATTGTCATAATATTCGGTCGAGAGCAACGCGCTTTTAATCATCATTAATAGATGTATTTATCGGATGTAAGGGTTTTAATACACCTCGATGAGCGCGTCTCGTCTCGTGAAAAGCGCGATGGGGAATACACGAGCGATGAGATACATTGTGTGGCGTGCTACCTGGCAGCGGGCCAAGAAAAGCAGCATTTATCAAAGCTTTCGCGGACACGCATGTAATACACGTGCTGTCTATATACGTGCGAGAGATGTGTCTGTGCTACTCTTTGCTTATGCCGCGTTCTCTTCTTTCATTCATTCTATCTTTTCGAAAGTTTAAATATTAATCAAAATTTAAATTAATATTGAAATTTATCCGCTTATATGACGTCTATTTGTGAGGCTTTTATATAAAGATGTCATTTTTAATACGCTGTTCTCTAAACATCCTTTTTAATTTTAAACCGCTTCGATAATTTTGATTGAAAATTATTCTCAATAAGAGAATTATTAATTTAATTTAATTATTTTTCTATTACAACTATAATTTTTCTTTTCTAAGAGAAGATTCTGTCCCTTTTGATCCATAGGTCCTTTATAATGCAGCGTGCATCTATCCATTTATCTATCTATCGATCTACCTATCCGTCTACTCAGCTCTCCCCCTTTTCATTTGCTCTCTCCTTCCCTTTCTCTTTTACTCTTGCATCATCTGAAAGCAGCTTGTCCTTTTCTGATCCGCTTCGTCCTTCGCGCGGTGGCTCATCGCTCATCATTATCAGGATATTAATGGCGCCGGCTAATGGATTCAGCTGAGAGACCAGCGTCAGTAAGAGAATCCCCCCCTTCTTCTCTAAAAGTGATCGTCTCTCTTCATCTTCTTCTTGTTTGTTTTCATGGCACGGCAGAATTCGAAAAATAGATACCGATAACATGCGATGATGTATTTCTCACCAGGAAGACGATAGAATCCAGAAAGAACAAGGAAGCGACAAAGAAACAAGACAATCTCAAATTCTTGAAAATCAAAGCGGAAGGATTGCTACTGTTGTGATGTAACGCGAAGAGCGATGAAAACCAACCGAATATTACCCTATTGTAATGACAGAAAAAGAGAGAAAAAGAGAGAAAAAGAGAGAGTTAGTGTATGTGATTGTAGCTGCATGCGGTTTGTCATGACGTTTCGTACTGCCCGTGGCAAAATATACGAGGACGAGCAGTAATCGGGATATACTTCTGGTAAATCGCGTAAATGACGAGACCAAATAAAACAGCAATTATCAAATAATTTATCTCATAAATCAATTTATGCAATTTTTATCGCAATTAATTTATCACTTATTATAGTATTTTTTTGAGGATTGAAATAGAGATTTTTTTGTGCGATTTTTTTAAAGCTAAATCTTTATTCACTATGGAAAATCAATTTTACAAAAGTAGTAGTGAAACACACGCTTGATTTTTAAGAATTTCGAGTCCAAGGTTTGTCGTTTTCTGCGGTTCTGCTGCAAATGCGGTTTCGTTCGTAGACGCGATACCACCGGCTATAGACGGCGCATACGAGCTTCCGGATTCACGCGATGGAACATCGGGCGAATTGAAGCCGGGTAACCCGACACCAGATCCAATTAATGGGTTTCTCGTGGAAAGCCGCGTGCGCGTTGCGCAATGAACGTAACAACGATCGTAATCGAACGGAACTGCGTCGTAAGGGAGGGTGAAAGTTCCCTGATTGCGGGAGGGATACGGGATAGGGATCGCGATGGTGAGCACGCATCCTGCAACCTTACAAATTGCCATATCCAATTACAATAGTTTTTTCTAGCGGATGATAAATTTTATACGGCAATATTTAAAGGATTTTATAAATTTATCAAATGACTATACGTCAAAAATTTTTTATATCAACATTTCTTAAAAAAAAAAAAAAAAATGTATAAGATAATGTTAGAAGTAATATATATGTATTTTACAAAAACTCTGTGCCGTCTTCTGTCGTTCTCTCTTTCTTTCATTCCGAGTGAAGAAGTTTTGACATTACCCGGTAGTGATACTCCATGATCTCGATGACGGGGAACCGAGACTTTTCTCTTCCTCACTTGCGAAGGTAACGTAAGCGAAAGATTGCCGGTACGTTTGACTATTTGCAAAATATACGCTGTATATATCGCGTGTATATTTCTGGTAGCGCATCATCAGATCAAGTTTGAGAGAAAGCGTTCTCCGATCGGACAGCGATATATCAATTGAACGGTGCCTGTTCGATGCACCACGGACGCGCACAACGACGCGGGATCGATCGATCGATCGTCGATCGAGGATTCACTCCGCCATCGTGCACGAGAGCGAGGAAGCGA